AACCACTGTTGTTTTTATTGCTGCATATGCTTTTGATAACTTCATCAGGAGCATGCATGAATTCCCTATATTACACACAGAGAGAAATTGTAAAACAGTGGAGCTAAATGGCAATGCCGTCTGATTTTTCTACACTGCAGCCAGATGTATACAGGATAAATACACTAACCATGCGAAATGATAGAAATTGGCAATGGGGACTTCTTTTCTCTCTCATGTTCCCAGTAAATGTAACATTAGTATAGCGAAGCTAATAAGATCACCAGTTATCACTGTTGTGGTCAATTACATGGTCATTTGAAGTGACAGTCCATGCGCTTCCAACTATCACTATTCCCAGCTCCCCTCACCCAGACCAGTCTTCTTCTTCTTCTGTCTATGTTAGGTTATTCATCATCCAATCATAATCAATAGAAGCTTTGTTCATGGCTTTGGTAGGAAAATGCATTCCTTTTATTGGCTCAGCTTGCACAGATAGATATGCAAGGTTTCAAGCATCGCTGAGCTCATCAAAAAGACTTTAAAAGCTGTATGGTGACTAGAATTAGAAAGCAATTGCAGTGGTATAAGGATGCAGTTGGGCTCTGGCTGGGCGGGGCTATTGCTGAACTCAGTACAGTACTTGCCAGCCAAGAATATTGCAACAGGAGGAGGACATTGATGGCAGTGGGAATCTGGATTATTATTATTTTCCATTCACTGTGCTTTAATTCACTTATTCTCTTCATTTCAAACCTGTGACCTTGAATTTGGAAAGAACTTTGATATCCCCTTTGGTGTTTCCATGCAGATCACTCTCCTTTTTTTATAACAAACCAAAACATTGTGATGCTGAGTTTGGAAACACTTTATGAGATGCTTGTTCCTACAGATATCTGTGTATTTCACCCACTTGTTAAGTAATTAAGTGGCCAGAGCCCCTGTCGCTTCAAATGTATGATCAGAAACAGGGATGGGCAACACAGGACCTAGAAACCGTGAGTCACCTTCCCGTTTTGGCAGGCATGTAGGTGGATGCAAATCCTCAGAGACTTACTTTTCCAGACCTTGCTTCTGTCAGCAGAACCCTAAATCATACAACAAGCAGAAAGAAGGAAGACAAGGAAGTGTGAGGCATATTTATTAAGAGAGGGCGGGATAGCTCAGTACTCTTAATCTCAGAGTCATGGGTTCCAGCATCACATTGGGCAAAAGATTCCTGCCTTGCAGTGAGGTGATCCTTGTGATCCATTCCAACTCTACAATTCTGTGATCTAATCTAATCATTTGTGTAAGTATCGTGGGTCTGATTTTTTCCCCTTAAGGCAGAATAAATTACAGAATGTAGCCAGCATTTACTATACTGAACATCCACATATGCAAAACAGTAATGCCAATACACAATTTCCAGGGAGTTTCCAGGGAGGTCTTCAGAAGCTCAGCAGATTATTTGCCAATCTGACATGAATTGCAAGAGAGGAGGAGGATTAAACAAAACAAACACTTAGAATACTTCTTGCCAGTTAAGCAATCCTTCAATAACCAGCCTATTGTTTTCCCCCCTCCTCCTTTTTAAATATATGCTGTGACTACTGTATTATTCAGGAGCACTAGAGCTAGATGGTGCATTACTAAACAAGATTATCTACTACTGTCAAGAAAGTTTCTTTGGGCAGGCCTAAAGCGGGAACCAGAGTATCTAACATGTTATTATCACACACACCCAGAGCAAAAGCTAATGTTTTTCTGACGGATAACAATTACCTTGTATCTTTTAGGAACTTGACTGAGCAGTTCTTCACTCTAAGCAACTATGCTCTCCCTATAAAAACTTTACATCTTCCACTTAATTCATTTGTATAATATTAGCGGTCATGCAAAAACTCACATTTGTATACAGTTTACTTTGTATAAAGACAGAATCCAGCCATATCTATTGTAACAAGCAGACTGTAACAAGCCCAAGAGACAGGCAGTTTTGAATTAAAGAAGAAACAAGTGTATTAGCATGTTCTTTTAACGTATGCAACTACGTATATATAGGATGCTCTTTATTCCAGTTTATGCTGCATCATCCACTTCTCTCTGTAACATGTTCAAATAGACACAGGTAATACCTCATTTCATTCAGACCACCAGTAGGACATATCAGCAGTCTTGTAAACATGACAAAGTACTCCTCTATTCCACCATTCTGGACTTGCTTAGGGAAGATATTCAATTTTATGGTGCTTCCAGTACTGTCAGTACTTTGGGATTCAAGCACATACTAGAACTTTAGGTTCGTGCAATTAAAGCAAACTAAAGTGCTCTGTTGCCCTGGCATAACAAAATCCACTTTTCTAAAAACAAAACAAAACCCAACTTTCTTGCAGTTCTGAAAGTGATGGGGATATTCATGGAAAAGTATGGGATGAATGAATGATTACCAGGAACACATGTAAATACCCCTCAAGCTAATCACGCCAAACGCTCACTGTGGTCTAACCACCCTGCCAACAAATCAGAATAAATGCTCAGTGAAGACTGGAGATGGTCTCACCACCACCTAAGCTGTGCACAAACAAATCAGGGTGGTGGGGCTCTTAGACTACTTCTTATAACCTCAAAAACTGTGGCGATCACACACAGGGCCCCCAGACGTTTGACAGTCTATTGACCCTGTGCCGCCACTGCGATTGCTTTTTCCGCTGCCACCACCCCGTATCTCATGGGGACACATGGAGTCCAGTCAGTTGTTAACATAAACAAATAATCAAGTTTATTTTTAAATGCAGGAACAAGCTTTTGGTTTCAGTTAATTTTTCTCTTGTCAGTTTCTTATTCTTAGTTCCTAACAACTCCAAACTGATTATTCCAACTATCTATCTGACTCCACCTAACAATTCCTCTCACTCTCACAATACAACTCTATCAACCCACGCCTAAACCTCCCTCTTCCTTCTTCAACTCCCAAGCCTCAACCCCCAACTCCCAAACCTCAACTAACCTCCCACTCTAACTTTTATTTCCCCCTTGCATTCTCACTGGCCAATCACATCACACCTATTTTAACCCTTTCCTTATGACCCATCCTAGGAGGCAAACGCCACACTGTCCATCTACCCACATTTAGTATGCTGTCCTGAACATATCTTATATAATCCAGCTTTTAAACATTTATACAATTCATTTTTCAAAATAAAAAAAAGAATCGTTTTTAATAAGAAGCAGAACTTCCAATGTTAATGCAGCAGTGTGACAACACTCAGAGCATAGGAGAAGGCAAGCTGTTCAGAGACAAGTGCCACGTTTTATTTTCTATAGGAAGGCCATTCTGTGGATAGGCAACAGGTGGGGGGCAGTATTGTGCCTGATTGCAGACTCTTTTTTAAGTGAGGAGAAAAAAGGAAGAGGAAAGACGGCAAGGGACACAGTTTCCACATTCTGTCATTCTTGGGCTTTGTGCTCTGTGTTGAAGCTAACTTCTCTTGGGCTTCTATAAACAACTGAGAAGTCTTAGATTGCTATGCCTTCCTGCAGTTGAATTGCTATCTGGAGTTGTTCGAGCAGGTAAAAAAGGATTTTTTCCAGAAAAGTGTCCAATTCCACACCTGCTTTGGCTGTCTCAATCTGCTATGGCTATGCTATCAGAGAAAACAGGCAGGCAGGCAATAAGCAGCATTAAGGCATCCCATGGCTGTTTGCCTTTGAAAGACACCAGTTAAGAAGACAAATGTCTATTAACTGACATACTATAACCAATTCCATTAAAGCAGCTTAGGAGGTTACTCCCAATTGCCAAATAGAAGCAATGCTATACATCAACAATACATTATTTACTTAGGTGCCTTTCTTCGTCCATAGCCACTTTTGTGTGATATGATCACAAAGCTGTGGGCTGTGTGTAGATGAAGCAAGCAGATAGGTAGAGTGGATCCAATTTCTCGGGATTTTCCTAGGCAATCAACACCTAGTGTGTCAGTGTGTCATTCCCAAGCAATGTTCCCTGTTTGTAAGAAATTGCACCACCAATGAAGTAGATTCTACATAGATGGATGTGAAGCAAACTTAAGACCAAAGTGTTCCCACTAATCAGTCTAAAGAGAGAGGCAGCATCTTCAATAATGAGAAATGTGTCAGCTTTTGCTTTAATTTTCCTTATATCATAATGCAACCCTCCGTGTACTGTGCATTCCAAACTCTCCTGCTAACATGCTCAAGAGTTCACAGAAGGCATTTTCTCATTTTGCTCATGGTTTTACTTTAGATCAGGTATGGGATACCTCCAGCCTGTGGTAAAAATTAGGCCTGCCAGCAGTCCTAATTTGGCTCACAAGGCCGTTTTCTCCTAGCCATTTTTTCCTAGGGGTAAACAGAAGATAAAATATAAGCATGTGCAAGATTTACATGTGTCAGCTAAAAAGCCATTGTATACCATGGTTAGCAAGTCTGACTTGGTATGCCTCTACCAGAGGTATGCCACATCTAGATTTCTTACAATACTCAAATATAGAACAACAGTTTTCTGGGCTTATTTTAATGTTATGTTCTTCAAGGTCCTGGATGGCAAATTTGCCAAAGTTCTCCTGAACAATAGGTGCTGTCCTTGCAACCCACTCAAGAGATTGAAATAATGTCTCATGCATTCTTCTACAGCAGATTTTATCAGGGCATTAGAGAATGTATAATTTATCCTCTTATGAGGCAATCCTGGTCCTTGAAGAAACTAATTATTACCAAACAGATGACAACATTCAGATATTTTGACATATTCCTCAGTCTTGCTATGGTCGATAGTTTCAAGCTTAATAATTGGTTCTATTGAGGCAGTGAATTTTGTACTTCATATTTTTAATGGTTTGCCCATAACAAACCCTTGATTGATTAAATTATTGCATGCACATTATTGTGCTGTCAAAGCTCAAATAGCTCATGGTTTTACTGCAATCAGGTAATCAGAAACCTTAGTGTACACTCTGTTAGGTTATAAAGAGGAAAGATCCATAGAAATGTTTCAAATAAAAAACAGTAATCAAAAATGAAATGATAAATATTTTAATATTTCTTGAATTCCTATCAAACTAATACATTGATCTTAACAGAATTTTAATGAAACACATTTGTGTTGCACAGCATTCTACATTTAGCTAGCAAGATGCTGAAGCTTTCAGTTAAGCCAAGTTTATTATAAAGGGGGGAATCTCTAGTGTGAGAGACTGCAAACTGGGAAACACAAGGAACTTCAAAATGTGTTGCTGTATTGTTCAAAACATTAGATATTGCCATGTGGCTGTTTGGCAATTTATTTCATAACATTAGCTGTAAGAAATAAAAACATAATGGGTTTCAACTGTTTGCTTTCTCTTACTTGTACATACACATGCAGACACAGGTTCTCAAATGAAACTTCAATCCAAAATGTATAAGCAAGAACTTCCTCTATGTCTAACTTACACATAGTAGTTAACTGTCTGAAACTTCTAAGTACAGGAGGTAGTAAAAGCTAAACTCTGGATTCAGCTAAAAAGAGTAAGTACCAAACCCAAACATTTGGAAGAGCCATATAAAGTTATGGCAAAAAGAATGCTGATGAACTTGAACCACAACATCAGAAAAATTAAGTCAACTTTATTATCAAAGTTGGTAACATTCCTCTGTCTATTATCAGTTCATACGTAGTGCAAAACAAATGCATTTTCATCTTCATCCAGGGAAATGATGTCAACTACCTTCAGTCGTCACTGTCACTTCCAGATTCACTCAACTGGAGATCATTCCCTAAAATTTAAAAAAAGTCATGCTATCAACTCCAGATAACATTCTTTTCCATGAAGTAGCGAATATCTCCCAGTACAGTACATTAGTCTCTTTGGTCTAAACATAAAGCTCCCGTCAAACGGTGAATTCAGGTGCAAATTAAAAGCCATATTTAGAAGAAAACTATTAAGATGAAGCAAATAGCACATTGGGGGAAGCAGTTTTCACCAGAAAATCCACACTCAATACCATAGTCCCCATCTGGATCCTACTTTCTATACCACCGGCTGCTTATTTTTGAGATATATTTTTAAATGGAGAGGAGATCCAACCATAGATCTCTAATGCCCCATGGTCCAAATTCTTTATGCATCTTCCATGACCTCTGCATTATGCACATGGGCCACATAAATCTCATCTTTCAACAAACATTATCCAGCTTGGAAAGCTGTATTTTATTTTTTTTATTGGATGAGTTAGAGCAAAAAAGTTGCAGGAAATTTAACTGAGTGGCAATAGAGATCACAGAAGTTAGGGTGGTTGTATCTAGTAAAGTAGTTATGTTAGCACAAATATTTCCTTTTGCCACATGGAAACTCCCCTCCCGCTAATCCGCTCCAGGGGGTGGGGTGGGGGAACACCAATAACAGATTTAGGAGGCATTGCAGGGTAGAGAGGGAGCAGAAGTTCCACGAAGAGCCAGAAGTCCTTGCACTAACAGAACTTTTTTTTAATACTATCCAATGATACAATGGTAGAAAGAACTGTGTTTCTTCCTCCATCCTTTCCCCCAGCCACTCTAAACCACCTGCTGCACCCAGTCAACAATCCATGAACATTGGGCATGCCTAGTCCTCAATGGGTTGTTTTAAGATTCCCTAGTAGTTTTGCAAAGCTCAGGGTTCTTCTAAGTCTAATGAAACCATTCCTCCCATGCTTGAGTGGTGCAGCTTTGGCTACATTGAACTAAGATTCAGAGAAAGGAATAAAGGTACATGATTCAGGGTTCACGATTTTAGGCTGTGCTTGGAAGCTAAGCTAGATATTGTGGTAACCTCTAACCTTTCTCCATGCAATGTCACAGATAATACTCTGCTTCCCTCCCTAGCTCCAGTGTTAGAACTGGAAAGAGTGGGAGCTTGATGTTTTGGTCCTAGGGTGCTAAGACACTCAGTGCCTTGACAACACTGAATCAAACCCCAAATCCCCAAATGGGAGCAGATGGGGATTACCATATGGTTGTGATGACAATCCTTACCTCCTCTGCAACTTCATGCTTCATGGCTCACTTTGTCATGGGGAACAAAGGTGCAGGACCACAAATGAAAGAGGTATGGAATATGTGGCCCTCCAGAAGTTGCTGGACTTCAACTCCCACCAGCCCAAGCCAGCATGGCCAATGGTTAGGGATGATGAGAGTTGTTAGATACCCCTACTGCACATAACACAGTTTTATTAGTGAATCTGGTCTGGCCCTGCTGATTGGACATTTTATTGCATTGAGAGTTAGGCCATACTGCACTAAACGCTTAAGCAACTCCTTTTGAGATGTCTGAATGTCTCCAGAACAAATTACTGGTTTTTAATCCCACTGTATACAACTCAGCAGCAGTCAGTATCATCTATGACATTGTAAACTGCATAAGCTTTAATTTACCATAATCAGTGGTCAAAACAGCTTTTATCCCAGCTTCTGATCTAAACCTCAGTAGGTCAAACCCTCTCTACCCAGACAGAGCTTAAGTTACATGAGAAAGTTATAAAAGCATGTGGTTTCCTTTTAGATTCCTCAAGTATGAATCTCACAAGCTTCTCTGCTTCATGTACCAGTACTTACGCAGTGTGTTCATCAAGTGGCCAGTGCCCTCTCGACTTCTGTGATATCCAGCATCTACATCTGGGAAGGCTCGCTGTGAGACAGTCATCATCGAAGGCTGTAAGTGTGGCATTGACAGAGGAAGGGGTGGCTTTCTCTCTTCATCTTCTGAATCACTAGAACTATTTTCACTGCTTGATGAAGAGGATGAACTCTTAGATTCAGATGAGCTATCAGAGCTACTCATCTGCTCTATAACTTTAGCTTCTGCTTTTAGCTCTGAAAATAAGATTTAAGTGGAAGGGGAAAAGAATTTAAGAACTAAATTCATTACTTACATGATCACAATATTAAATTCTAAGAAAATAAATAAACTCAGAGTAGTATTTGGGAGTGACCTCAAGACAGTGAGCAAAGGAACGGTATTTATCTGTCAGTGTGGTGTAATAGATAGTGTTGGAGCCAGGGTGAAATCCCTACTCAAGAAAGAAGAAGCAGAGAGGTCTCAACTGCAGAAAAAAGGAAGGGAAGAAAATTTCCAGCTGCACAGGAAACATTTATTTGATCTCAGCATGTTTAGAATTTAATTCTTCCTCAGGGGCATTCTTGAACTACAAGTTTAAATCCTGGTCTCCTCTCAGGAGGATTGAAATTGGTTTCAATTGGTTGTTCAACTGAGGAGGTACTCCATTCAAAGCACATTGGGCTCAATAAATAATTGCCTGCACACCTCGAAGTTTCTTTACTTCTTCAACAATCACTTAATGCCTTGATGTCACCATCTCTCAGCCTCACTCCACATAGTAACTTAAACTATAAAATAGGAGCACAATGTATGCCTCCCGGAAAGACAAACAGAACAATCAATTCTGATAATCAATATTCTACTCCTTAGGTATAAAGGGAACCTTCCCAAACTGGGCAGAGGGTAGGGAGGAGAAGAAGGTGATAAATTTGATTGCCAGGCTTCCCAGACTGCTGTATCACAACATCATTAGACAACAGGTATTATTCTAGCAGCCCTAAAATTTTAATCAAATTAAGGCCACAGCAGCTGCCACTTTTATCTGACACTTTTATCAAGGGTGAGTTGCTTATGTGACAGCTGATTTCTGCCACCAGCCACATGTTGATCCTTAGTCAACTTCTCCCACCACCACAACCAGTGTTTTTTCAAGCTATTACAACAATAGGCAAAAAAACTATTCTAGGCTCAGTGTCTGCTGGGTGGCTTCCATGTAGCTAGCTCATTCCATGGCATCAAATACGAAAGATAGCATAGCCTCAGAAAAAAATACAGCCAACACAGGCTCACATAGTGGTGGAAAGATATCTAATGTCTATCAGTATTTGCTTTGTAAAGCCCTTATATTTTTTTGTGGACATAGCTAAATAAGGTATAATTAGAAATCCTAAAAGAGGGCTTACAAGAATATCAGATTTTAACATACGATATTGTTTTTAAAAAATTGCCAACCACTTGGACATTAATTGTTCTCAGAGCAAAATTCAGCACTGCTAATTTATAGAGATATTGATATTAGAACTTAAAGAAGTAAAGGACCCATGGTAAGACATCATGACAGATCCTGAACCAGTCCCAAATCCAATGTTGTAGTGCTCCTGTACTGTATTATAGTCATTCCAAACAGAAGTGCTACAGCACTCCTGTTTGGGGCTTACTGTTTAGCCAGCATAATTATTATTTGTAAGTGCATTTTTGCACACAAAGCAACTTGCTCAGTAATGCTACTGTTCCCATGCTTCCGTCATGGGCTCTAGCACTAAAGCAAGTTTCTCGATGGGAAACTATCAGGTAACACAATGCTTTATGCATAATGATGCGGCTGCTAGAATGTGGGAAAACAGCTTTGGGATTTTGTGAGTCACTCAGAACAAGTTTTAAACCAAACTAACCAACCCTTCTAGAAGAGTCTCTCAGATTTCATGTGCCCTTGAACACCCTCCCCTGCAGCACTGGCTACTTTTTAGCAACTGTTCAAGGAAAGAAATGACAGGATTTTCCCATTATAGTTACAAAGAAACACCTGCATGAGAAATTCCATTTTTTGCTCTGTGTACTCAAGGATTCAGTCCTAGTTATCAATAAATAGAGCAACCATCTGCCAGCATTAATTCAACATGTAACATATTCCTTTCCTGCTGCTTGCCCCAACTTTTCAGCAGGAAGTTCAGCTGGCCAAATGAACAGAGTATGACATTCTAGTAAGTTACTTTTAAGCCACCAGAAGCATTTATTTAAAGTGACTGCATGCAGAATAAGGTATTACCCATAATCCTTTCCTCATGGTGCACATTAGAATTTAAGGCAGCCATGTATTGCCAGTTATCTGGTCACCCAAGGCTCTGAAAGGTGTACCTAAGCAACCAGGATAATTTTAAAATGTATAAAGTTTTTAGGTTAATGCTCTAAAAGAATCTTGCCCTCAGGGTTATGAAGGAAATCTTATAAATATATGACTAAGCTTGCCTTAAACAACATATAGCAAAATTATGTAATCGGCAAGTGCACCTCAGGTAAGGAAATGAGACCATTTCAAGCAATTAAGGGAAGAAGAAGAGGATGGAGACCTAATGATATATGTAAGCTGTCAGCAATCATTGGACTAAGATGGAAGGAAGACCCAAATGATTACTCAACACTAACAGAACAGTGCACTGTTGTCATTAGCCTTTTTATGTCATACCATCCTACTTTTTCTGGTGGTAGCTGGGATGGTAGAGATAAATAAGGTCAGAGCAGGGGATTTGTAGCCAGTTCTATGTGGAACAAACAATGGCTGAACATTTTCAGTATCTTAGGTTTGAACAGTCCATCAGCGATAACACAAAACATTAATATTTGCTCTAGTTACCTGTAATGGGTATGAGTTACTCATGCGTAAACTGCCACCTCTCTAGGCTAAATTGCCTTGTTAAACCGTTCTGACTGCACAGCCCATCTCCGCGTGGCTGTCTCAGTCGCTAGCAGAATCTGTCAGTGGGCGTTTCTTAAACCTCTTCCAGCATAAAAGCTGTTTGACTCCCAGTCTCCTCCTCCTCTCACTGCGCGGGAGTCTTCTGCGCAGGGAGGGCGTGGGTAGTGGAGGACCTGCGCTCTCCTCACTGATGTCCAGTGAAGAGTCCTGGAGCTCTCTCTCCGCTTCCCCCATCTGCCCCCCTTTATCCCTGGTGTTGCGCTGATTTCCTTCCCCCTCTACCGAGCTGCTTCTCCCCCTGGTGCTGGGTCCTTCGCCAGCATCATCTGGGAGCCTCCCCTTCGCCTCTCGCTCTGATGTCAGTTCCCTGACATTACCCATCCCACAAGGACTTCTGTCACACTTCTTTCCACTCATATGTCTTTGTATTTTCAAGGGATGGGCTCTCCATTTATGATTGTGAAACCACTTTTATTTGAATGTATTCATCCATAAAGAGATTGAAGCCTTATGTAAGCAAGCCTTGATAGTCGCTAAAATACAAGACTGCAAATGCTTCTGATACCTCTTCACACAATTTCTATTAAGTTTAGTTAACAACTATTGAACTGGAAGCATGTAGTATTAAAACTATTTGTATGCTCTCAATAGATGGCCAGACACTCTATCCAACAGAACCATAGAATTGGAAGGGACCATGAGAGTCATCTAGTCCAACCCCCTGCATTGCAAGAATTTTTGTCCGACATGGGGCTTGAACCCATGACCCCGAGGTTAAAAGTCCCATGCTCTACTGGCTGAGCTATCCATGATGGTTGTAGAGTAAGTAACCCCCTTTCTTCCCAAGTCAAATGAAGCAAGCCGATGGAAGAGGAACAGAGCAATCCATCCTTCACCAGCCCATTGCATTTGGTTGCTGGACACACAGGAGGCAAAACTTCAACCTGGGCATCCATTGACAAACAAGTGGTGAAGAGAAGGAGTAATCCATTTCTTTGCTTCCAGCCTGCTGCACTTCTATGTTGGATGTGGACGAGGTGAAACCCCTTCCTGTGCTTTTTATTCCTAAGAGAAGCTGGAAAAGGGATGGACAGTTCTGACCATCCTCCACCATCTTCTGTGTAAAAAGCAGAAGAGTAAAAACTTTTGAAGGCTACCATATTTAAAGGGCTAATTCAAAAGCTGACCTGTGCCACTTTTGTTGTGAAAGAGACATGGCATTGGCTGGTTGGAGCCTGGTATTCATTACTTCAAGACAATATAGGGTTAGAAAAAATGCAACACAAGCGTATTTCTTGCTAAGGTGGTAAATCTATGTATGGGCTGTACCACTTCAGACTACAAAGGAGCGGCTCCTGTAGTTGAAATCTCTTCCATAGAAAAAAACGATTCCTTCACATAGAAAACTGGAATGCCAGGGAACAACTAGGTTAGAACCTTCCCACCATTATGCATTCCTCTACATGCTGGGGCAGGGAGTGAGAGGGAAGCATTCAGTCACGTGAGCTGCAAAGACTAGACAAGCTTACCACATAAATGAAAATTAGGTCATGGACTCCAACCTCAAAACCTTCAAACTACAGAATAATTTAAGACTCTGAACAACATGAGATTCAATTACAACTTACCTCTTTCAATATCATCCATAGGAGAAGGTGGTGGAGACATCTTCTCTTTTGGTGGAGAACATTTAACACTATTTGGAATCTTATTTGCATTTCGAATTAGCTGTTGCTGTTGCCCAATACGAGACTGGACCTTACTGCTTCCTTCACCTCTGTATGAAAGGGTTGAAAAAGAAAGTTGTATCTGTAAATTCTATAAAGCCATTTATTTTGTTTCCAAGTAGTTTTAGAAGAACTGATTTTTCACCACTTTTGATGGATAATAAGAAAGCTCTTATGTGCAGTACTTAACAAATGCTAAGTCTGTGCAGGTTCCAGTGAAATGTTATCCAAACACCACCCCAAAAATGCAAACAAATTGAACTGGGTGATGATATCCAATGTTACTTTCTGAGTTGAAATCAATAGGCTTAAGGAACTAGGTCACAAGACAAACCAGGAGTAGTAAATCAAGAACCTTGGTTACAGATTCTGGTTTGTCTGGAGTGAGACAAGCCACAAGCCCTAGTTTCAACTTATTGTCAAATCAAACTACGGCTTAACCCCAGGTAGTATGATAGCAACAGGGCAGGGGGAGGAGTGCAGCAGCCGTGATCTTCATTCTGGGAACTCACACATATACATGCTTGTGCAAAGCCATGGTTTGGCTTAGTGTTACATGTGAACTGGGTCATTGCTTCAGTCTCCTTCTTAAAAGAAAGTAGCAGTCAGTTTTTCTTTTTCCCAATTTAGACAAAATTGCTTTTACTATGGAATTTTCATAATGAGTAAGAAAACAAGAGTGTTTCCAATTTTTCCACCCACCTGGTTTTCTTCACAGTGATATTGCTACTAAGTTTCTCTAGTCTACATTCTCCAGTGTCATGGTTAATTATCAAGATGCATTCTTTTTGGTATGGCTTCTTGGAACCTTTGAAAACTGTTACTGGTGGAGTAGAACCCTATTTTAAATCAGAAGAAAATTACTCCTACTACAGGCACTTCTAGAACTGCTTTTTTAAAGAGTCTACTTCATGATTTAAAATCCTGCACTTTTCACAACACACTGTGCTAACAGCATGTATTTCATTATTATAAGAAGGCAGAGAATGAAGCCAGTTTTGCTACAGTGATTTTGCAGGACTCCAAGATTTATTACAAAATGCGGTCTCAATATGAAAATGGATTGACTTTTCATTGACCAAGTGGCTTTTTTTTCTTTTTTAGTTCTTTCAAGGTTCCTCTCAAGATGATGAATTCCATCCAGTTGAAAGCTGACTCATTCTCCTAACCTGTCATATAACCAAATAAAATTTCAACCAACTCCTTTATTAACATATTCTATCAATTATGAAGTGGTAATAAAAAAGCAAGTGCTTGTTGGCACCAGTAACCATCAATCACCACCAACAAAGATCGAACTATACTCCCTTCATCTTTTGTTCTTAAAATCTATACCAGAATATGGGGAAAGGGAAACTATCACAGAACACTGTGCTTATTGTTGTCAGGGTTGCATACAGCCTTTTCACAATCCATTTTGATCACTTTAACACAACCATTTGAGCTTTCTAGCCTGCCAATTATTTACTGAGGATATTTTTGGCATATTTTAAAAAATGAACATTAAGCTATCTCATCATAAGTTTCACAACATAGCCTCAAAAAAGTCACTCCTATCTGAGAAATGCAAACATCTCTCATGAAACAAAGATTATAAACACCACAAAATTGTTTTTGGCCAAATACTAGTGTGAATAAGAGAAATAATTAATGGAAAATGAAGAACAGGTCAGGGAGGTGACAAGGCTTCTTTTCCACATAAATATGACCATGCAGCTTACAACATAACAGCAAAAATATGTATCAATACATCAGGGGTGGAGAGACTCCAACCCGCAGAACTAATCAGCCTCTGTATGGGTCCCAATTTGGTCTGTGAAGCTGTCCCTCCCACCTGTCCCATGCTAGGCATCATACTGTCAGAGGCAGTACCAGTTACTGTATTGGGAATCACAAGTGGGCAGGTATGGATGTGGTTCAAAAGAAACAACAAGGAACTTAAAGTAATCCTCCGATTGTTCCTTTGCAAGCAGGGTTCATTGACAGAGAGCCCCACTGGGATCAGTTGCCCTAGTAAGGTCTCCATCAAGAACTCCCTAGTGCCGTCTGGGAGGCAAAGCATTTTGCAAGAAAGGATGTTATTGTGCCATCAGATGATTGGCAGGTGGATGGCTCTACCCATGTGTCAAAGCTACCCAAAGTGTGTGTAGCAGGGTTGAAGGAGATAAGAATCAATAAAGTGAACAGTACAGATATGCCTTCCTCAATGTTGAACTCTGATTGGCTGTGCCTTCCAAATGTATGACCATTGCATTTTAATGAAATGATGATGATGATGATTTATACCCCACCCAGGTGGATTTCCCCATCCACCCAGTAAATATGTGAAGTAGAGTACATTGGTTTAACACCGGCACAACCATAGCATATGTTACTGCCACATTCTTCATGTAATTACAAAAGAGTGCCACAGTTTAAGAATCAGCTAGACTCCTCCCCTCAAAGGGAACAGCAAATCTCACCTCAATATTTGGCAGAGTTATTGTCACCTGTTCGCCTTTACCAACTTCAAGATCTCCTTCACAAGATGTATCAATGGAGGCTGGTTTGAAATCATCTAAGTAAAAAAGTTACAGTTACATATATTAGGTCATGTTTTTCACTACAGTGGTACCTCTGGTTACGTACTTAATTCGTTCTGGAGGTCCGTTCTTAACCTGAAACTGTTCTTAACCTGAAGCACCACTTTAGCTAATGGGGCCTCCTGCTGCCGCCGCGCCACCAGAGCACGATTTCTGTTCTCATCCTGAAGCAAAGTTCTTAACCTGAGGTACTATTTATGGATTAGCGGAGTCTGTAACCTGAAGCGTATGTAACCCGAGGTACCACTGTACTCCCTTAAACAGTGATCCTGTCACAAGGCGAAGGTGAGGGTGCTGGATCATTCTGTTCATATCTTTTCTAATGCTAGTTTGTCTGACACATTAAGTTCCATTATTATCCAAAAGACTGCAAAATGTGCACAGACCAGGAGGTTTTCTTAATACCTATCATAGATTCACCACACATAGGAGCTGTATAAATTCACCAAGATATGCTGAATGATTTTTAAATAGAGCACTGAAATTCACTTGCACCTAATTTTCAAGAGAAAATAATGGAGAACTAAGGTTCACGAACTTTCAGACCTAAAGACAAATATTGCCCAAGTACAAATGAAATTACCCCAAATCCTTGTAACAAATAGAACTCTCAATAGTTACATATATAGTGATTTTAATCCTTCTAGTGAAACACAGTACTGCTCTAAAAGATTAAGTTTCAGCTTTATTTTCTATTTTGTAGCCTTCTGCATTCTATTATAGTCCAAAGAAACAGGATCTACCAAGAGTTTCTGACTTACCATAGGCATTAGTAAAATAAAATATTGAATTTGCTGACACCCAGTGAGGTCAGGACAATGTGACACATAACTTTTCTTTGTTTGTTTGTTTGTTTGTTTGCTTGCTTTAAAAACATACTGCTTTCTTGAAATATTTCATAATAGTATACTAAAAATACACTTGTTACTGCCAGTTTGGTCTTGATCCTGTTAACTAAGCCTGTTAATTATTGACACTGTAACAAAGTGTTTAAGTTTTAAATAAATAGATCTCAAACTTCCACATGGCTAGGAACTAGCTTCAACTCCAAATTAACAGGTCTTTTTTAAAGCCAATTCAAACCAATACACTACTATTTGAATTTCCAAGGGAGTAAACACCATCACCATTGGGCTTACTTCCAAATAAGCATGTAAAAGATTGCAGTGTAAATGCAGCTATGTTTTAATGAGTTGCTAAGATCTCCTTTTAGCATTGTGTTTGTAATACTTATATTATAGGTTGCATGTATTACCCTGAGCTCCATTGGAAGAGTGATACTTAAATTCATTAAAAGCCACAAATGCACGAAATATTTAGATATTTGAAAACTAAATGTTGCCTACATCTAGTGAGCATGGAAGCCATGATTTCGGAGAGCGAGTGCCTGGCTTCTGCTCCTCTGTGAACTTAGAAGAGTTCATGAGCATGAGATACAAATATACATCATCTACAAAAAGAAGTGCATGGCTTTGTTTTATATTCCCTAGCTGCAACACCTTAAACAGTCTCTTCCTTAATTTTTTTTTTAAAAATCAAACTCACAATAACCTATAGTTATGCTCATCTTTATATCATTGTTGTGGTAGAGATTGTCGTTGAGCAATATCTAGGCACTCTACTCATCCCCTATGCCTCCTCTCTCCAAACACACCAAAATACCTCAGATCTCCCCATTTCCATGCAGATCTTCCAATTAGATTTGACAGGTCACCTTTGGTTTTCTTCATCCCTTTTAAAAACACAATGGGTTCTTAAAGTTCACTGGATGTCACTGGATGCTGAATTTAATATTTCTGATAGGTTTCAAAGTATGGAGCTTTATCATATTGAGCAAATAAAGGTATTTTTTAAAAAAGCCTTATTCCTTACTTGAACTCTTACAATGGTAAACCCAGTGACAGCTTCTTTCCCTCAATTTGTTCGTGGTATTTGCGAAAACAATCCCCCCCCAAAAAAAAATAATTCCCGCAGCAAGTCCAAAGTGCCCGTCGCTTCCAAAATTTCTGACTTAGCTCTAGATGAAGCAGTTTGGTTCCTTTCCAAACAGATGCCAACCTTCCTGCTTCCAACATAATAGCAACGATGACGACGGCGATTAGCAAGTTACCACCCATCGTTATTACATAGGCACCAGCTATGAAGTTGTCGGGCGTTCACTTACGAGGGAGCCATCTCTCCTCACCCAAACTCTTCCCCACCTCGCGACGCCAACCTGGACGGGCTCGAGGCGCCCGCCTGCCTCCCTCCCTCTCTGCCTGCCTGGCAGCCCCTGCTGCTTCCCAGCCGGTGGCTCCACTCCACTCTCCTCACTCACAGCGCACGGTGTGGAAGGCGCAGCGCGGCTGCCTCTCGAAGCTCTCGCCCAGCAGCAGGGCGCGCTCCTTGCAGTCGAAGATCGGCGGGGCCGCCCCGTTCATCCCCGAGCCGCCCGCTCCTGCCTCTCTCTTCTCTCTCTCTCTCTCACCGACCAGCGCGCAACGGAGCCGCTCCACTTCTGCCGCTGCCAGGCTAAACCACCCCTCTTCGCCCTGCCGGTCACCCCCCGCTCTCCTCCCAGAGGCCGCGCCCCCTTTTCCGCGCCCCGCCTCCTCCTCAGTGGCTGATCGAGTTTGGTAGCACCAACCTCCACCACCCCGCGCGTTCTTTCCTCAGAGGGAAGCGGCGACGCGGAGGGAGCTTTAACGCCTCTCTATTGGCTGCAGCTTCGCACCTTAGTCACGCCCACCGTAAGCGTCCGTCACTAGTGACAGTGGGGTGAGGGGATGCTGCCCTCCTGTTGCCGCGCCTCCTGGAGTTCGAGCGAGGCGTTAGGGAGGGAACGTATGCAAATAAGGGCGGAGGGACGGTTGGCGAAGCGCGTGCCGGCGGGACAGTTGCCGCTTCCTCGCGCCCAGGTTCGCGTTCCTATTGGGCAGGAGCCCTCGTGACCTCAGCCGTGAAACTGGCCGTGTGAGTAAGAGAACCGCATTAGTCCTTCCGGTTGTGGAAGGAGGCGCTTGGATCAGGGGGCTGGTAATGGTCGGGGTGTCCGCGGGGGCGTGAAGTTAATGGGCGGAGGGTGAACAATCTGGTAAAGGGCGCAGTGTCTGAGAGGCCTTCTTAACAACCCGTGAAAGGTTTCTGGAGGATCAAACCGCAGGTTTGTGCTTGGGACTCGGGACGGTGCCCTGAACATGCACACTGACTTCTCTTCTGCCATGTGAATCATCCAGGGTGATGCATCTTTACAAGGCCGGTAGTTGAACTATGGCATCTACTAACCGCGTCACATAGTGATAGTTGCCAACTCGGACAAGCTACAAAAGGGAATTAGACAAATGCATGGAGGATAAGGCGCTCAGTGGCTGCTGGCTGCTGGTCATGACAGCTGTCCACTCGGAGGTGGTATGTCTGAATTACAGTTGCTGAGGAACATGGGTGTAGCCAGTATTGGAGGGGGGGCCAGGACTGATCTGATTGGTCAGTTAATTAAGTATTTCTATTGGTTTACTTGATCTGAGGGGGGCAGTTGCTCCCCCCCCCGCCCCTGCTTGGCTACACCCATGCTGGGGAACATGAACAGGAGTATGTTCCTAACCTGCTTGGGCTTCTCAGAGGTAACCAACTTCAGGCGCAGAGGCTGTCAGCGGCAAGGGAGACAGCAGTTGGACATCTTCGTCTTGCTTCAGCTGACAGTTCCCTCTCTCTGAAGCTGCCCACGGCTGTCTTTGAAGCTAAGACAAGCAGGATTCTCTCCCTTGTGCTTAGATCAAGCTTCATGGCCTTGATTATTGCTTGCTGTAGTGCAGATATGAAGGGCTTTGGATAACAGAAAGTCAAAAGGGGAGGGCTGTTCAACATACAGAATCATTACACTCTTCAAACAAATTCTAGTGGACCGAGATGTTGGGATATCCAAGAAGGCAGGTGAAAGGAACAAGGGTGAGCGAAGGTGTAAGGGCTGGGAACTACTTTGGTGAATAGGCACAGAGGTGGATTAGAAAAGGAAAGAGCATTGGGGACCTGACTTGGAAGCATTATGAGTGGATTGCTCTATGTCTTCCTGTGTTGCAAGGGGTTGGACTAGCTGACCCTTTGGTCCCTTCTAGCTCTACAGTTCCGATTCTGTAGATCATTTGGAAGCATAATGTACCTACTATGCATATGAAATTATCCTTTGTAAGTCCCCTTAGAAGGATGCATTATTTATCTTAAATAAATCTGTTTAGCCACTTTAGGAACAGATGGGCCATTGGTTTTATCCAGCAGCTTCTTCTTAAGTTGTATTTACATGCATAAATTTTCAGGTTCAATCCTGACTCATTTCAAAAAAACCATCAACCCTGAAGGGTTTTTGTCATCAGTATACAGTGCTGAGCTAAATGCAGTCTGATGCTGAGCTAAGGATCTGGCTGCATAAAGCAGCTTCCTACATTTGCCCATTCTTCCCTTTTGGAAATGTGGGGCGGAGGCTGAGCTGAACTTTGTGTTTGAAACAGCAGCAAGCTGTGAATGTGTGCATCAATTTTCATTATGATCCGTCAGTTTTTCTGTATCACAGTGTTTTGTTTCCCTTGACACTTGTGTCCTGTTTGTGTGTTCATTCATGTGATTTATGGTCATGTGCAATGGGACTGTGCCTGCACCTGTTCTCACTCCACTGCTGCTCATGCATAGAAGGGAGAGTGCTCTGTGTGTCAAATAAGTTCCCCTGTGATGTGGATTTCTCATTGCACAGGGTTCCATATCATAGGAGAAGTCTGTGTGTACAGATCTCGCTCTTCTGTACAGCACTGTTCCCTAGCATGTGGGCTTGGGAACTATCGCTATACTCTTGATCATTAATCATTTTGAGGAGGGAAATGCACAAATGTGGAGGGAGGTGACATCAAACTGGGGTTTGTAGGAAAACTAGACTTCACACTAGAACCAGTGTGGCATAATGGTTTGAGTGCTGGAGTATGACCTGGGAGACAAGGATTCAAATCCCCACTGAGAAATGAAGCCCAGTGGGTGAACTTGGGCCAATCACTGCTTCTTAGCCTAACCCACCTCACAGGAGGACTGTTGTAAAGATGAAATGGGGCGAAGGAGAACCATGTACAGTACCTTGAGCTCACTGGAAGAAAAAGGTAGTATATAAATGTAATAAATAGTTTAGTGTGTATTGAAAATGCATGCCAGTTGCCAATGCAGTGCCTCAGTACGTTGTGTTGCATTTTTCATTTTCTTTTCCCTTTGAAACAGGTGTGGGAGTTAAGCTGGTACTGAAAAAAGAAACAGAGAGTTGTCCCATGGGCAATATATACTATGTTTCATTCTGATACCTTGGTGTTCAACAGTGTTACTGCACTGCAAACAAATTTTCATAAAGAATACTCGACCAGCTAGTAGTTGTTAAATGAAAGTCTCACTTCAGTCATCTATGGCCAGAGTAGCAAATACTCAAGTGTCCTAGATATTTTCTCTGCTCACAGATATTTATACCCAATTGTTTCCCAAGCTATGATTCTCCCCTCTACCAACTCTGGATAGCCATAAAATCACATAAAGTCACTTTTTTATTTTTTTTACTTTGTGGGCTTTTTGTTTGCTTCTGTTTAATAATTTCCAGCTATAGCCCGTTTGGAATCAGTCAATGGGACCAACCAAGCTGGTATTTGTAAAGTGAGTAGTTTGCCACCTTCCAGTTTGTCCCAGTTTTGACAAGCACTGCAGTCACCTACTAATAACAGCTCCATATGATGGCTTAATAAAGGTATGAGGAACTGGCTCCTACAGTCAGACCAATGATCCATCTAGGCCAGGTCTGTTTACTGTTATTGGCAACAGCTCTGCAGGGTATCAGGCAAAAGTGTTTCACACAGATTTATTTGAAATCAACTAACTGGCAGCGCCAGGGAGTGGGCCTGGGGCTTTGGGCTAAGATGTCAATTATTAAACTATGTTTTCTAGCTTAGCTGTGGAAAAACACGTGATGTCATTTAGAGTAGAAGAGGCATATTCTATGAATCTGCTATTAAAATTGGTTTGTCTTTGGAACACATCCTTCTATGGTTACCCAGTGTGGATTTTATCATACATCATCTTTATTAGATGCATCTGTTTTGTTGAACTGTTTTTTATTTATCTGTTCTCTTCCTATAAAACATCAGTGCTCTCTTCCATAGCTGAAGTCAAATGTTTTGTCTCTTTTCTTCTTTCTTTCATTTTAAAATATAGTTGGCTTGGATGAAATGAAGCCATTATCAGTGGATTCCAGAATATTGTCCCTGGCTTCCCAGGCTACTGAAAGCCCTGATCAGGATGTCCCTGTGCTGCTGCTGAAGTTAAAAGGTAAATAGGTTGAGTTCTTTCAGACCTGTAATGAAATAGTTTCAAGTGTTGAGATTCTTATACTATAAATGAAATTGTTTTTCACTACTTGTTAAACTCTATCTGAACTATTGAGATTCACTATTCTACAAAGTCTATATGTGCATATTTTATATTTTCTGCAAGTCTTTCCAAATATAATTATTGATTTGAGGCCAACAGAGGAAAAAGAACTCATCTATAGGAGATAGTTAGTTTCTTTTCTGTCCTTTTTCAATACGGCAGCTGTATAAATGATATTGCTGTTTGACAGGGGTCATGGACTTCCTCGAGATCTTGTTATAGGGTGATATAACAGAGTAGCTGTGTTTATAGAAACAATCTCCCTCTCTATGAATATATAAACTTTTCTCTCCTCGCCTTCCACTGACTGTCATTGGAAATGTGTGTACCCAGCGCATAAGAGACTATGCAAACTAAGCCAATTTTAACGAGTATATCTAATTTGCATTATTTTTAACACTATTCAAGGAACTTCTGTGCAGGCTTGTGTAGAGATGGCCTGAGGCCTGGGGTGGGAGTCTTGATAGAATAAAGGTTTTGGCATGACATTGTAAGTCCAGCAGGCCCCCAGCAGGGTCCCCTGACACCTTGGCCCTCTGGGGCCTGGGACAATTGTACCTGGTTACACCTCGCCCCCCCCCTGCATGGGCCTGTTTCTGTGTTCTTAAAATCTCTATGGTAAGAGTTGCTCCTAGTTATAAGCAAGCCTTATATACATTCTGGAGAGAGACTGCTGATGAACTGCAGCAGCATTATAGCTAGAGGAACTGTCAGTTGCTAGAGGGCTACTTTCTAGTAAAGGAAGTCTTTGTGGCCAGAGTCTAGTAATTCTGGTAGTGCAAAACAAGGAAGTCTTCTATAAGCCACCTTATTTTTCATCATACTTGCATGTCCACCGTTTCTTAATTCTCCTTTGCGCCATCCCACTGACTTCTTTGCCCATCTTTTTCTATCCATCTACAGTGGTGCCTCGCAAGACGAAATTAATTCGTTCCGCAAGTTTTTTCTTCTTGCGAGTTTTTCGTCTTGCGATGCACGGTTTCCCATAGGAATGCATTGAAAATCAATTAATGCGTTCCAAGGGAAACCGCCTTCAGACCAGGTCCGGGGACAGTCTCTCCCCTGACCTCTTCTGAAGGCTGGGGGGGGGGGAACAAGGGCTTCTGAAGGCTGGGGGGGGGCTGGGGGGGAACAAGGGCTTCGCTGCCGACACCCAGCATTTTAAAATCTCACCGGGACACGGGGAGATTTTAAAATGCTGGGGGTCGGCAGCGAACGCTTCGCTGATCCCGGGACGGCAGACAGCTCTGCGCTGGCATCCAGAGCGGGGCGGGACTTAGCGCCCCGCTCGGGATGGCGGCACAGATCTGCCTGCAGTCCCCGGACGGCAGACAGCTCTGCGCTGGCATCCAGAGCGGGGCGGGACTTAGCGCCCCGCTCGGGATGGCGGCACAGATCTGCCTGCAGTCCCGGGACGGCAGACAGCTCTGCGCTGGCATCCAGAGCGGGGCGGGACTTAGCGCCCCGCTCGGGATGGCGGCACAGATCTGCCTGCAGTCCCGGGACAGCAGACAGCTCTGCGCCGCCATCCCGAGCGGGGCGGGACTTAGCACCCCGCTCGGGATGGTGGCGCAGATCTGCCTGCAATCCCGCGACTGCAGGCAGCTTTGCGCGGCCATCTGGAGCGGGGCGGGCTTCGCCCCCGGCTCCCGATGGCCGCGCAGAGCTGCGCTGATCCCGGGACGGCAGACAGCTCTGCGCCGCCATCCCGAGCGGGGCGGGACTTAGCACCCCGCTCGGGATGGTGGCGCAGATCTGCCTGCAATCCCGCGACTGCAGGCAGCTTTGCGCGGCCATCTGGAGCGGGGCAGGCTTCGCCCCCGGCTCCCGATGGCCGCGCAGAGCTGCGCTGATCCCGGGACGGCAGACAGCTCTGCGCCGCCATCCCGAGCGGGGCGGGACTTAGCACCCCGCTCGGGATGGTGGCGCAGATCTGCCTGCAATCCCGCGACTGCAGGCAGCTTTGCGCGGCCATCTGGAGCGGGGCGGGCACCCCGCTCGGGATGGTGGCGCAGATCTGCCTGCAATCCCGCGACTGCAGGCAGCTTTGCGTGGCCATCTGGAGCGGGGCGGGCTTCGCCCCCGGCTCCCGATGGCCGCGCAGAGCTGCGCTGATCCTGGGACGGCAGACAGCTCTGCGCCGCCATCCCGAGCGGGGCGGGACTTAGCACCCCGCTCGGGATGGTGGCGCAGATCTGCCTGCAATCCCGCGACTGCAGGCAGCTTTGCGCGGCCATCTGGAGCGGGGCGGGACTTCTCTGCTGTCCCGGGGAGATTTTAAAATGCTGGGGGTCGGCAGCGAACGCTTCGCTCCCGCCCGCCAGCATTTTAAGATCGCCCGGGGCAGCGGAGAAGTCTCCGCTGTCCCGGGAAGGCAGGGGGGGGAGCAAAGACTTTTGCCCCCCGCCGGCCTTCAGAAGAGGTCCAGGACCTCTTCTGAAGGCCGGCTGTGGGCGAAAGTCTTTGCTCCCGACCGCCAGCAATTTAAAACAGGTCCCCGGAGATTTCCCTATGGGCTTTCGTCTTGCGAAGCAAGCCCATAGGGAAATTCGTCTTGCGAAGCACCTCCGAAACAGAAAACCCTTTCGTCTTGCGGGTTTTCCGTCTTGCGAGGCATTCGTCTTGCGGGGTACCACTGTATAATGTATTCTGTAAGCGTTCTACGCATGAATCGTCTGGTTTGTTTGTTCTATAGATTTCCTAGCTGGCAATTGCTTCTGTATCAGTGTTGCAGTAATGACAAGATGGTAGTTGGGGTTCCACATTGTCTCATGCTCACTTAATCTTTCTTGATATTATACTCTCTTTCAGAGTAGAAGGGTACTTGAGTGTCACATGCTATAATTGAGAAAGTATAATTTTGTCACCCAAGCTCCTGGTCCATCTGTTTCGGTTTATTTTTCTTCCCTAGATATTTTAAATAGTGCACCGCCTGGCAGCAAAGAATTAAAAAAAATTAAACAAGACTTGTACTACTACGATCTGGTTCAATACTGCACATTAGTCCTTAAGCAAGATTATACAAGAGTGCGTGGAGGCTGGACTACTGCTGCCCAGATAGCAGAGATACTAAGGTAAACTCTTCCTTGGTTACACAGCTTTTATTCCTGAATTGCCGCTAGCCCACCCTTCTTGAAATCATTGTGTGACTGTGTATTAGCCTGGGTGTATTACAGCATTACCTGCAAACTGCTAAAATGTATGTGTGTTTATTTTCTCAGCCAGTGTTGTGTGGGCCTTGAAGTAAAAGAAGAACCAGAGGAGTTTTACAATAAGCTACTTCCTTCTGTAGCAGACAATCTCCTCTTCTTGGGAAGGCGCCTGCAAGCACGATTCATCCGAGCGATCAAGGTATTCAGGCTGAACGGCTTAAGGTTGTGTAGTGGAACTGTTTTGTAACTTCTTGACATGTTAACATGCTGAATAGTTGATTTATTCAGGCAGTCTTCCCCTGCCCTGCCCCCCAACTCCAGGCGCCTTGCATACCAAATACCAAGGGCATATCTTCTGTGGGATCAGGACTCAGAACAACTATATTACAGCAGGAAGCTTTGGCCTATTATGATATTGTTTGACGCCATGGTTGACAGCAAGGGATACTGAAATTTTGGATCAGCGCCAGTAAAAGTTAAATCACTAATAGTTTATTGAACATAAAAAAAAAATGCAAGCAGAATTATGACATGCCTCCAGGACAAATATTGTGGTGTAGATGCTTTCTTCTTAAAGCAGCATTTCAACAAAAGTTGAACTAAATGTTGAAAGTTTTAATTCACAGCATTCCAAAAAGGTTGGTGGATTTGATGAATCAGATTACAGTAGTAGCATTACTGACCCATGGAACCAGCTGGTTTTCCAGTAGAAAAAGTGTTTTAAGTTTTTAAAAGCTGCATCTGTCCACCAATGGTGATTGGCAAAGGAGTTCCCAGACCTCAGACTGATGAAGTTTGGATGGAGGGAGTTTCAGAATTAACTATCCTGCTCAGCAAGTATATAACTTCAGAATAAGTTGCTTTCAAAGTTATGTTTCAGGAATTATAATCTTAATTTTTGCTTTTTTGTGAAGGATGAAGAGAGAAATGAATTTTTACACTGTTTCAGAACAGTAACTGATGCCATCTGCTGGCTGTGTGGCGGATTCATTCAGCTAACAGCAAATGGTAAGGGAAGAAAGATCTGAAAGATCATTACTATAGCTGCATAGCGGTTTCTGATGAAATATTTCCCCCTTTTGTGATCTGCTTGTAGATAACTGTTGTGTTTTTCCTTGGTAAAACTACAAATTCATGGATATTGCTTCATGGCTTGAGTTTTCTTCCTGTTTTTCGCCCTAGTGCTTCAGAATAGACACTTCCAGCAACTGCTGATGACGGACGATGTTGAAACTTCAACCATAATGATGTCTGTGTTGCAGAATATTTTAAGAGTCAATAGGTAACTGATATACCTTAATTTAAACATTTCCCTTAATATATCTTAAAGTTTATCATACAGTGCTAATCACTTCTCTGAATTTATTTACATGAGCAAGAGATACTGCCAAGAGGAGAGAGTTAAAGGCACAGTAAAAGCTGCAGAAGAATGACAGGTGGTTTCCTAGTGGCTGTTTTAGTTCAGGATAACCACATAAATATCATCCATAGAACTTCATGATCGTTCATAGGAAGCGTCCAGGATTCTGAAAGCAAAGGCCTTTTTGAGCAGTTTATTGTGCATTAATTACCCTTTGATGGTAGAGTGTTCTCACATCATCTTCAGGATTATGCTTTTATTATGGGAGTTTCCCATTTCTTTCCCATTCAAGGCAGTCCATTTTTATTCCCTCTAGCTAGCAGGTGACATTGCTGTGCTGAATGCAGGTGTGTGTCAAGGCCCCCTACTGGGTGTTTTTGTAATATGTTAGTGATAAGTGGCAAACTCTTCCATTCCATTAACTGTTGCACATGTTGCATGACCTCCTGCTATAAGTCATTTTTTGACTTAAGCAGAGATACCATATAGGTTCATACACCTTGAGGGGTCCTTTCTGTCTGCACCAAATGGTTACGATTCCAAATTTAGAAGGGATGCTTTATAACGCATTACCTCAAGAGGCAGGCAACTTTTAATATTGTCTAACCAACAGCAATATCCTCTTCTCTCTGGAGGACCATCTATCAGTTCAGCTTGTTTTTATTAATTTTATTGTGTGCATTTATTTATTAAATATTGTATCCTGCCTTTCTTGTACAGAGAACCTCTCAGAGTGGTCCACTCAGAGCAGTTTAGAACACTTGAATATGCAGTGGTAGCTTTGTTCTAGAACTTAATCCGTTCCAGAGGTCCGTCCAACTCCCGAAACGTTTGAAAACCAAGGCGCGGCTTCCGATTGGCTGCAGGAGCTTCCTGCACTCAAGCGGAAGCCACGTCAGACGTTTGCCTTCCGAAAAACGTTCGAAAACTGGAACACTTCAGGTTTTCAGCATTCAGGAGCCGATTTGTTCATCAGCTAAGCTGTTCGAGAACCAAGGTTCCACTGTAGTAGCTTATAATTTCAATATAATGAAAGCCAGTACAACCAGAGTCAACCCAAGCAAAACTTCTTCTGTGTGATCCATTTTGATTACTTGTCAATACTATTAAGAGAAATCCCTTTTACAACCTTTAAGCAGCACTACAGTTGTATTTTAAAGTTACTAAAGGGTTTGGTGCAATACTTGCTAGCTACTGTAATCTGCTTACCTTCCCCTCCCCTCTGGCACCATTGAATAGACTCCAGTATCATTCCATCTTTTTTCTTGTTATGTCAGTGCTGTGTTACTTCAAGTTGCTGAAAAGTCCCTGCACTGCATTTTAGATGAGCTTGTTTACAAGCTTTCGTCTTCTATCAATCCTGTCATAGGAAATGCAGCTATAAAGCTGTTACTCTTGATTGCACAGTCTGATGCCCAACTTGTGACAACATTCGCTACCCGCTACAAAGGTTTGTTACTCTGTTTCTCAGACTTGGGAAGAATTTTGTAGTAACGCTGGCACTGATTAGGCCTTCAGGGTCAAGGCCCACTGTAATTCCAAAAGCAAAGGTATACTTTGTACAGTCTAGAACTTGTGTATCAATTCTAAAAGGTATTGAATGTGAAAACTTAAAGTTCCATACAGGGATGTCAGTGGGACTGGCTCTCAGATAAGCATAAATCCTATTGGTTGGATCCAGAATTGAATGGGACCTAGGTTCAAGTAACATAATGTGGATCCAACTCTATGCTTGGTACAAACCTTTTCACAAAATAACTGCATCTGACGTTGCACTACTTTTACTGCACAGGAAAGGCAATAGGCACATTTGCCAATAATGCTAAGCCATACATTGTATGATGTAACATTATAAGCATAAGCCTCTGCACGGACGAGTAAAGGCTTGAGTTCAACTAGTCTTCCCCTCCCACCTTCTGTAAGGCTAGAAGAATAAAACAGAATTTGGTTTCACTTAATGGCTTGTCATTAACACAAAAACCAGGAGTCCAGGTTTAAAATAAACTCTTAAGTTGTTAACAAGCCTGCTTTGTAACTCGTGGTTTTAAGTCGGCTTCTTTTACATTGACTAGAGTTTATTTAACACCAGGATTCCTGGTTTGCACATAAGGACAAGCCAGGAATTGGCTGAAGCGAAACTTAATCATCATTTATTCCTTCTCCCAGCCATTTAGGGGGATGGTCTAGTGCTTGAATCTAATGCTTCATGTGGGCTCCTTTATGCTCAGGTATATAGTGCTAAACCAACAGTGGGGAAGCTGGAGTCCAACATCATCTGGATGGCCACAATGCCCATCATTTTTGACCGTTAATCATGCTGGCTGAAATAGATGAGTGTTGGAACCAAACAACGTCTGGAGGGCTTCAGGCTCCCCATCCCTGTGCTAAACTGGTTTAATGTTACATGTAAACACTGTCAGTGTCTTCTATAAAGTTAAGCCAACCTGAAATTGATTAGCCAAGCTAGCCCATGAAACTGACAAGCAACAAAATAAGTTTTTATTCTGCATTGCCATTCGATTGAGCTGGTGCCTGGGCTCCTTAAAATTACAGTATGTACAGATTAATTCCAGGTGCTTCTTGTGACATCTGAGTGCAACTACTTCTTGGTAAACACAGTGCACTCCCTCCAAATTTTGCAAAAGTGAATGCCAAAAGCTGCCATTCCACCACCGATTACCAATGCCAAGTTTGTTCAGTCAATACAATTGTCTTGGTAGGTTCTATATTAAACCAGGACAGCATACTTGAGCTGTCATTATATATGAAATTGGTCTTTTCCTGCATGGTACTAATTGCACTGAGTATTTTGCCATGGTTTTTCTTCAGAATATATGGCCTAGAAAGTTGTAGCACTATTGCAACCATTTCAATATTGCATTTTATGGCATGTCTGTACATGTTTTATGTGTACATTTGAAAATACTCTATCCCATTGGGACAAATGCATTTGCCAGTGTGCATTATACTAGTTCATACACCAAAAGGCCCATGGTTAGCTTGTTTTCCAGCTGGAGGGAAATCTGGCTTTCCCCTCACTTTGCAGGTGCAAACACCTTCAGTTGTATCAACACTTCATTCATTCTTTTCACCATTCATGTTTTTGTGAGAAAAATTCATGCTACTATCTGCTTTGGCATGTACAACTATAATTTTCCAGTGTCTGCAGGATAAGCAAACTAACTGTGCTTCTTATAAAGCAGCATATTTATCTTGATGTGTCTCACTAATTAAGGACTACAAAGCCTTCTAAGCAAGCAGTGGACTGGCAAAGGATTTGACAGAAACCTCAATCAGCTTTTGGACTTGCTGTGCTCAGAAAATTACAAGGCTGTCAAAACACAGGTGTGGTGGAAATCTTACTGAGTTCTGTATGTGGTGGAAGTAGCTTGTACTTAAAGTTTCATCAGTATATTACTGTATATTTCAGTGCCTCCAACCAACATCTATTCACTAGATGTTATAGGTACAATAGATCAATTAACACAGAAACACCTCTAAGAGTTTATAAATCTCATACATACACCCCCCCTCTTTTATTGCAGCTTTCAAATACAAAAATACATTGTCAATTAAATCATTAAAACAGTGCATGAAAGGGCATAAGCAGTCACTTTAATGACACATCACCGTATAAGTAGGTATACGTAAAAGCACAGTGGAATAAGAGTCTTTGCTACCATTCCTTCCAGTAGCACCTTAAAGACCAACTAAGTTAGTTCTTGGTATGAGCTTTCGTGTGCATGCACACTTCTTCAGATACAGGTGTATCTGAAGAAGTGTGCATGCACACGAAAGCTCATCCCAAGAACTAACTTAGTTGGTCTTTAAGGTGCTACTGGAAGGAATTTTTTTGTTTTGACTATGGCAGACCAACACGGCTACCTATCTGTAACTTTGCTACCATTGTTACACTTGGGAGAAAGGGAGCCAACAGACATCTATCAGAAATGAGTTCACAGTCCAGCTGCCAGCACTGAGAGGGTCCACTCTGTGTTCCCCACCTCAGAAGCTGGTAGTGCACTACTGAATGTGGGAGAATATGAAATAGGGCCTCACATGTTGAACACAGTGCACAGGTAACTTCATATGGGAGGAAGCATTACTCCAGATAACCTGGTCCTAAGCTGTTTAGCTCTCAAATGAATTTGAAGCCAGTGCAAATGGACAAGAGCTGGTGTAATAAGTTCTGAAAAGCAAGCACTAGAAACCACCTGGGCTGCTGAATTTTGTCCCTGTCAGTTTCTAAACACTCTTCCCCACAACCCCCTCAGCAGTGCAGTCTCGATGTGAGCAGGGCATGAGTGACACTGGCCTGATCAGCCTGGCCCAGGAAAAGGTGCAGCTGGCACACAAGCTAAAGCTAAGCAAATGGATCTTTTCCCAATTCATCAGTGAATATTAAGGTGCAGGGGGATTTTCAGGTTGTCATTTGACAACTCTGAGAATGCGAAATGGATACTGGTGGTTGAGGAGGGACTCAAACCTTTCTCAAAGGACTTGAACTGTGGTTTTTGTGGTTTTTAAAGCAGTTGTTAGCTGTTTAAATTGTATGTTGCCTTGAGATGATTGCGTGGATCGTTCCGTTGGGCAGGCTGATAATGCTTGCATATTCAGAACATTTCTAATGGTTAAAAAATGAATTCGTGTTTTCATTTGGATCATGTAAAGTTGAGGTTTTGTATTACCTGGAAAGAGGCAGATCAGTTTGAATTCACACAGGAATTGTTCTGGCAAATAATAGTATGACATTGCCCACCCCACCACCAAGGAATAGTTTAAATTGACATGGGGCGGGGGGAGATGCAAAGCATTAAAGTTGTATTAATATTTTCACTGTGCTTGATGGGGAAATGAGCATAATCCTCTGACCCAGTGCTTTTTTTCAGGGAGTACTCAAGGGTACGCAGTACCACCTTCTTTTTGTTGTTGTTAAAAAGTGTGGTACTTACTGTAACAACTCCATGGTGAGTACCGACAACTGTTTTTCCTAGATAAAAAGCACTGCTCTGACTTGTTTATTTCAGAGACTACATCAAGCAGCTTGCTTAATCCAAGCAGCATGGAGAGGATTTCAAACGCGAAAAAGATTAAAGCAGCTTCCAAAAGCAGTAACAATCTTGCAGAGAAATTTCAGGTAAAGCAAGACCTTTGGTTTATTACAAACCTGTGGATGCAAACAGATGGTTATGTGATGGTGCCCTTCTTCCTCCCACTCCCTTGTCCGTTCTCCATTCCTTTCCCTTTTCTTCCCTTATAAAAGAAAAAAGAAAGTGGTGGTGAGGTGGTTGCAAAGGCAGATCATGGGGCAGCTTTCTCTTCTGGTCTCACCCAGCGCCTGCATGTGGCCTCTACAGGACACTGTGACCCTCATCCCTTTGTGCAGTTTCTCCAATAACATGCTTGCTGCTCTGTGTAACTTCTCTACCTGGGCTAGAGATTAGGTTTTTGAAGTTCCCTAATACTTACATTCTTTCCCTCTCAAAATATTGTGTTGGCCAGAAATGTTGCTGTGAGAATATATTAAGCAGCATGCAAATTTCTTGGTGCTACATTAGCTAATTGATTGCAGAAGTATAGAGGGGTTTGCTCTATAATAAAATGCATTTTAAAAAGGTATCTTAACGGGCACATGTTTGGAAAATCCAGTAGAGGGCAGACTTCGCATGTAATGGGTTTCCAGATTTCGGCGCAATCTTTGGTTCCAATCAGAATTTCAGGCTTCACATCCAGGCCATGATTAAAAGTATGTTTGTGCATACCGCTACATGTGCCTCTTGAGACTATTGGGGTACATGTTCCTATCTGCATGATAAATGCAGACCTGTTTAAATGTAGAACACTCTGCCCCCTGTAATTTCTAAAACTTTGTTGCTGTAGAGCTAAAAGAAAACAGGAGTTGCAAGGTTTAAAAAAGCAGAAAGAAGAGGAGGAACTCCGCCAACAATTGCAGCTTCGGAGACAGAGAGCCATGAGGCTGTTCCATGAACGACAGCTTACGCTACTGGAAATAGTTCATCCAGGTATGGTTATTATAGTAGCATGAAGGGCGTTTTCCATGCAGAAACAAATTTCCCATATTCTTTCTTGTTAGTTGAAAACTTCTATTCATACTCTGTTTCCTAAGACTTAGTATTTGAGGCACAAGATGCCATTTCCTTAAATGGCCAGGTATTTTTTCAAGGATGTATCAGCATCTTTCCCTTGGGCCCCTTTAGGACTTATAGGGAGATAGTGATAATGTATACTTAGAACAAGCTGATGGGAGAAATGAATGTAATTCGATGCTCATTCAGTAAATGTGTGAATCATTTCTTTGCCTTAGGTTTATGTGCTTTCTCCCCCACTCATTCTCTGTTTCCTTCATTTTGGAAGCTAACAACTGTACTGGAACATCCTTAATATCAAAGCCTGGGGCAGGATAGCTATCCACTTCGTTTCCCTGTGCAATTTCTTCTATCTATTTCTTTCAGTATTGACTAATGCGGCCCCTTGTCAGGAATGCAATTCTACGCTTGGATCTGAACTGCTCATTGAATGTGAATAGTTTAATTTCCCCAGAGGATCTCTATGTGAATAATTTCCTCTTGGACTTTGGTACAGGGTCTCATCTGTGTAGCAGCTGGACCAGAAATCTCCATCCTTACCAAAATGTCCTCAAACATATCTGGATGTTGGTTTAGAAAAAGGTCTGCTTCTGCTGTTTGAGCTGAATTTTTTTGAAACCAGCTGGCTTGTGTTGAGTCTTCCATGAAACCCAAGCATATTCAGAAATTTGCCTCCTTTATCTCCTAGGTCAGGTAGATAAGCATATGCATGAAATGGAGGAGAAGTCAGCCATAACTATCCAAAGATACTGGAGAGCATTTAGGGAAAGGAGAAATTTTCATCATCAAAAGAAGTCTCTTAAGCAGTATAAAGCAGCTGTCCTCATTCAGAGAGCGGTGAGTATGCAACCAAGTGCTGCCATGACATAAAATTTACCCAAACAGTTAACATTCATGTTTTAATTCCAGGGGCGCCGACTTGTAAAAAATATTGGGGGGGGGGCCCAGTGGCGTAGCGTGGGTTGTCAGCACCCGGGGCAAGGCAAGTAATTTGCGCCCCCTAACCCGTGGATTTTAGCACTTGAGTGCGAGCACACCCCCCCCCCAGATGTTGCGCCTGGTGCGGCCGGCCCCCCTGCACCCCCCACACTGCGCCACTGGGAACAGCTAAGGGAGCTGGGCATGTTTAGCCTGGAGAAGAGGAGGTTAAGGGGTGATATGATAGCCATGTTCAAATATATAAAAGGATGTCATATAGAGGAGGGAGAAAGGTTGTTTTCTGCTGCTCCAGAGAAGCGGACACGGAGCAATGGATCCAAACTACAAGAAAGAAGATTCCACCTAAACATTAGGAAGAACTTCCTGACAGTAAGAGCTGTTCGACAGTGGAATTTGCTGCCAAGGAGTGTGGTGGAGTCTCCTTCTTTGGAGGTCTTTAAGCAGAGGCTTGACAACCATATGTCAGGAGTGCTTGATGGTGTTTCCTGCTTGGCAGGGGGTTGGACTTGATGGCCCTTGTGGTCTATTCCAACTCTATGATTCTATGATTTTATGATTCTATGAGGCTGTGTCAGATAGGGTGGAAATTTCATCCTTTCTGTCCCTCACATGGGAAACCGAAAAACACCCTCTCAGAATTAACTAGGGACCAGGATTACCAAAGCCCCATTCTCCCTGCAACCGCTTGGGTATCTGGTGGGCACCCAGTGAAATTATTTCCAACCACAAAGTCCAATACAAAGTATTTTTGTGGTAGGGAAGGAGTTTCAGCTTTGCCTTGTGGGCTGTTCCTCCAAGCTGTCTTTGCGGCGCGTAACAGCCTGGAAGAGAATCAGCGAGAGGATCTTTAGAATTCAGTGCAAATTGAATTTCACCGGAATAGCTCGGAGGTGCTGGCAGCCCGCTTCCCTCCCCCCCACCCCGCTTTTTCGTTTTCTAAACAAGTGATCGGACTCTTCCCCTCCCCTCAGCCCCATGAAACAAGTCCCCAGCGCGAAAAGAAATAATAATTAAAAAAAAAAAGAAGATAACAAGGACGGGGTGTTTTCCAGAGCGAGGTGGAAGCCGCCCATCGCAAGGGCAGAATCTCTGCGGTGCGTAATTACGCGCGGCTTGGAGAGCTCTTTTCCCCCCATTACCCGGGCCCTAGCGGTGCCCGCGGCAAGGTGAGGTTCTCCCTCTCCGGCAGGCGCTTCTGCGCGCCTTCACCCCATTCTCCAGCCCCGCCACATCTGGGAACATCATTAAGGAGTCGCCTCTGCAGCTCAGGAAGTTTTCACACTTCACGTTTCATTAAACGCAGGTCTTCTCGGATTCCTTGGGAAAGGGAGAAGCGGGAGAGAAAGGGGAGAGGCGCTGGGCGCGGGTCGGGGGAGAGCGCCTGATTTGCAGCTGTTGGGCTTTCAAAGCCAAATAAAACGGCCAGTCTGCGGAGCGCAGCCGCAGCGGCGGTGGGGGGCGCGCGCGCGCTAGGGCGCAAGGCTGGCGGTGGCGGCGGGGAGCCCGGCGGAGGAAGGAACTTGTCCCTTCCCTCTGGACTCGCGCCCCCCGCAGATGTTGCGCCCGGTGCGGCCGGCACCCCTGGCACCCCCCACGCTATGCCACTGGGGGGGCCCATACCGGGGTCCTGCCCCGGGAAGTTTTCTAAGTTCCCCGCCGGGCGGGGCCGCTGCATAAGGGTGAGTGGCGAGGGCGGGACGGGGCCGCGCACTCCTTTCCTCGGCTGCCCTCGTCGCGCGCCTTGGCTCCCGCGGCCGGCGAGGGGAGCCCGGGCCGCGCGCGGCTGCTGCCGCCGCCGCCGCCTCTCCTGGGGGCGCCGCCTCCCCGGGCGGGAACGCTGCGGGTGCACGAGGGAGGAGGGCAGCCCCCGGGGGCTGGGAGAGCCGGGCTGCCGTGGCCGAGAGGGCTGCTCTGCCGGGCGCCGCTGAATATAACTAATAATTTTCTTAAATTATTGGGGGGGCTGAGCCCCCCCAATAAAATTTTTGAGGGGGCTCAGGCCCCCTCAGGCCCCATGGAGTCGGCGCTTATGTTTAATTCAAAGCTTCCAGTATAGTCTTCTATAAGCAGCTGCTCTAAAAATTAAGCTGGAGCATTAGTCTTCAGAATCTTCATAGCAAAAATTTGCAAAAATCTGAACAACCCTTTTAAAAACCTGTTACAAGAAGCTGTTGAAGACTTGAGACCATAGTGCTGAATATTACCCTAGAAAACCATTTCTAGCTTCATCATCTGCCCCCTGGCCAATCCTTCCTACCATTTTATAAAATTATTCTTTAATTTGATGACATTGTGGAGGCCAAGTTCTTATTTGAAGCTGCGCTTGCAGAACCACATTCTCCAGCTAAATTGAGCCTTGCCGAGTTGTATCTGCCTGAAGAAAAAAAATCAAATGGAGAAACATGCATATTTCTCAGTGGTTTAGCTTTCATCATAACTCAGCAGAAAGGAGGGTGATGGACTAGATACTCAAGTAACAGATCTGAGCTTAAAGGTTTGTATTCATTTCCATGTTGACAGAGCACTGAATTGAGAGTCACTCTTGTTTTATTGTTTTTTTTATAGCAAGAATACTATAATAATGTTTTAGTTTAAATGGAATACAAGATACTATTTGTTCATGAATTATTGTGTGTGTGTATGGATTCCCAAGCTAACCAGAAGGCCATCAATAAACTATCCTGCTGTAAAAATTCTGACTGTATAAATACATTGTGTTACTTGAATACTTTTTTTCCCCACAGGTGCTTAAGTTCTTGGAAAAGCGAAGGAAAAGGAAAGCTTATTCTCTCTTGAAACAGTCCAAGCACCTCTCTGATGAACAGAGGCTATCATTGCAACAAAAAGTGAATGACTACATCAAACTGCACCCGGTACATCATCATTCCTCCTTTGGCCAGGGCACCTTTTCACATTTGTTTGTTGGCCAAGGAATGCTTACAGACATGCTGGGAAACCCTGCATGTTGCCGGGGAGTCTAGGCACACTTTCAGTTTACACATGGCATGGTCACACATGACATTAGTTTAGCCTTGACAATGCGCAAAGCTCTCATTGGAGCTGTGCATGGCAGAAGAAGATAGGTAATGGTGAAGACAGGTAAAAGCTGTCTTTTAAGGAAGCATCAGTGCCACATCTCTGTCTCCTCACTGAAAGACCCTGTAACTTCCAAGGAACCTGGGTAACCTAGGATCACAGTTTGAAGACCACATCCATAGAACAACAGGAATGTTTTGCCCCTAATCACTACTTTGACAGGAGCCACAATACAGCATTGGCAGTTAGATAACTGCAGTAACTCACTGGGGTGGGGGAAATCTGTTGCCTCCTATCCTAATTGCAACTGCTTTTTTAATTCCACACAAACTCATGAACTAGTGAGTCTGTTTCGTTTCCATAAATGACAGAACATTTTTCACTTATCAAATGGTTGCATGGGTGCTCATACATATATGCACACATCCTTTATGGTACTAATATTAAAGTGTTTAAGGAAAGCTTTAAAAAGTAGGTGTTCCTGATCAGAGAAATATTACCTTCATAGGAGAACCTTAATTGGGGGGCCCTGAGGAAGATAGTTGTCAACCGGAATTCATTTGGGCTTTTTATTGTTTCACAAGGACTGCCAGTATGTTTACAGATTTATTTTTTTTAGGATTTTGCTTCTATTGCTTTCATATGTTGCTGGTCAATGATGCTGCTGCTGCTGCAAGCAACTGCAGCCAGGAGGTGCCTATGAGACCTGTGTGCATACCTGTTGCAGCACTACCAGTTTTGCTGTTAGCTTCCCCCCCCAAACCATTTTTTTTAAGTCTACGAAACTACTTTGACAAGAGGCCCTGACTGTAGAGAGAGAAATTGATGGGTGGTAGAGGTAATGATGGCTGTACAATATCACTTGCCAAATCTTGAAAAGTTAATATCAGTACACAGCCTTTACCTAGAGTTCCATGCTGTTTACCTAACATAAACTCTGAATATATCAGAAATATACTGGTCCCTCTTTATTTGGTCTGTGAAACAAGGTATTGGGTGTTGCTTGGTGCTTCCCCCCCCCTTTCCCCCATTAATATAATAATAGGAATTTGCTTCTTCCTAAATCCTAATTAGGAAACTAAATTTATTCAGTGATAGATCGATGGCTTCAGGGAGGAAACACAGGAAGAAGCACGGTTATTAGATTTACAAGTACCCAAGAAATGCAAATGTTGTGCTGTAGACATCCACAAAGGTTTGAAGCTGATAACCGCTAACAGTGACAGGCACTATCATTTTTCTCCAGGCTTCTGAAATGTCACAAGAAATGAGCAGGGAACTTCATCATCAAGCTCAGGAAAAGCTGGCCCAGTATTTGTTGAAAAGAAGCCAGGATTGCAAAGCAGAGCAGCATAGAGAGGCATTGCTAGCCCAAGTCCACACTGATGTGGACCAGCTAATGAGTATGTGTCTACCTCATCATCACCATTATTTTAGCCTGGCTCTGATTTTCTTCCCATATTGTGGTAAATGTTGATGAAAGTGAGTGTCGGGACTGATTCATGCTAATAGTAGACACCACAGCACTCATCCAGAGATAATATTTTGTTGTGTGACTCATGAGCTATGTAGCCTGTTGATTCCATGGCAATTTTGGTCTTGTTCCCCATTAAGATGTTAATGCTGAGAGTATTTGTGTAAAGGTGTTTTGGGAAACTTTACAGAAATCTTCTGCTTGCTGTGTGGGCAGTAACCCTCTTACTGTATCAAAAAACAAAACAAAATGAAGTTTAGTATGCTGGGGTTCTTCTTTTATTTCCCTTTGCCATTGTGAGCTATATGTGGCATGTACTTTCCCAGCATGTTTTAGATTTGGTTTTTAATTGTAGTGTCCAGAAGATTGATCCACTGAATTATAAATAGAAGAATTGGGTTACAAAAATGAAAGGGATAAACCCACTGGATCTGACCCATGAAAGGACTCAAAATAATGGAAAATGGAAGAAATATAGCCCCAAGATGATCAACCTTGTATTTTAAGAAAAAAAGTAATTGTGATTCTTTTGCTCCTTTTGTCACAGGTGCTCCAAGTCTAACAGAATCCACTACGAAAGATCTGAATATCTTTATGAGTAGATCAGTTCCTGTGGTAGCCAAAGCCAAACAATCCCACAGCACCATGTTGAAATATACACGGTGGCCATGGTGGAAGAAGCTGGAAGAAGACTTCTTGGAGGAAGAGGCTGTCTCAGAAGATCTGAGTGCTGAAGTGGGAACTTTGTTCATTGGTGGCAGCAAAACATAATCTGGAATGAACAAGGTTATAGTCTGGACTATGTCTTCTGTGAAAAAAGAAAGTATTCCAAGATGGTCTGGCAAGCAGTCCATCCAATGCTGTCCAAATTATTTGATTTTTTCAAAATATTTAGTTAATAAAATGAGTTTGTACTTATGCAATATATATATATATATATATATAGCTGTTATCAAGTTCCTGTTTTACAGATTTTGACCTCTAACCACAATATGTAAATTTTACCATTCAGATGACTTGGAAATCATTACAGTTCACATTTTAAATATTTGTGAAATTCAGCTGGATTGTTAAAAAAAAAGTGGGATTTTGAATTTAATTTCGTGGGGAGTTAGCTGTGTGTATGTATAGGCTAGGAAATAGAACCTTGGAGCTCTGAGAGGAAGCAAGGGTCAACAGAGAGAATCTTCAGTCCCCTTATGACTTAGAGCATTTTTTTCAACTTGAGGTCCATATTCCTTTTCTAGGTAGCCTTCCAAGGGTCAGATGCCAATGGTGTGTGGAACCAGATACAAAAGTGTGTGAGGCGACCAGTGCCAGCTTTAGCACTGCACAGTAAGGTAGCTTTTGCACACATTCAAGCACCCATCTCTATCTTGCATCTAGACAAGCAAGAGCAGTCATCAGAGTTCAAGAGATCATTCCAGCCAGGCAAAAGCATTCAGGTGCAAAGCAGGGCCAGTGTGGGGGGGGCGGTGGCCTGCAGAGAAGGGGGTGTAGCCTAGGGAGAGTGCAAAGAGCCCAACAGAGAGCTGCATTTGGCTTGCCCTGACTGAGGTTCCCCATGCTTGACTTACAATATCATCCCAAACCCATTCGGCTTTGAGTCTTCTGATTAACCAATTTGTACATGTTTTATCTTCTTTAGATGTGCTATGAAATTTACTTTTCTGTTTTAATGAATTAGCATTATTATTAGGTTAGTTTGTCTGAGAGAAGCGGTATTAAATAGTTTGAGAAACTAATGGAGGAATCCTTATGAGAGCCTGCCTGTGATTGCATTTTAAATTATAGGCCTAGACTCTCATGACCAGAAGCGTTTCTCAAGCATTACAAAAATGACCAGACTTTCAACTACCAGGCATTTTGCGTGGCATAAGCTATATTCTCTTCCCTCATTTAGAACTTTTCTAGGGCTAGCTGATCTACTGAATCTTATTGATAGGTTCCATGTGCTGTTGCTTTATGCAGTGCTTGACATGCTCAGAGTAGACCCACTACTTACTTGAGTAATCGTAGTCTATTGATTTTAGGAGGTCTGTTCTCTGTATTGTATAGTTGGGTAGTTACCCCTGTTAACCTACAGTCTCTCTGGTGCCACTGTAGAATCTTTAAGGAATTTACAGAATAAGCTCATGGAGACAAATTGGATTCTAAACATGATTTCTCACCTCTAACAGAGTGGCTAGGAAATACACCTCTCTACCATCAATGTTCTTTTCTTTGTATTATTAAAGGATAGTAAATTGTTACAAATAAGTCCCTTTTTAACAGACCAAGACAAGACCAAGGACTCAGCTATACAGCTGCAAATCCTGTTTGTATCCAGAGGTACCACTGTATTGCACTTAAAACACACTTAAAACCTTTTAAGTGCAATGCAGTGGTACCTCTGGATACAAACAGGATCCGTTCCGGAGCCCTGTTCGCATCCTGAAGTAAACGTAAGACGCGACTACATGTGTGCGCAGGTCGCATTTCGCCGCTTCCGCACATGCACGTGGCGTCATTTTCAGCGCATGTGCAAGCGGCGAAACCCAGAAGTAGTGCACTCTGTTACTTCTGGGTTGCCGTGGAGCACAACCCGAAAATATTCATCCCAAAGCTACTTCAACCCGAGGTATGACTGTATACAATGTGACAATAGATGGTGATCCTTATGGAAAATTCAATATATTTTTAAAATGCTTTTTAAAAAAAGCATTTTCAGAACATTTTTTAATATGTGTGTAGATTCCACCCAAGTTTAAGATTTGATGCATAACGTTTGTTACTACATTGGGACATCACCACAGCTAATGTCATGAAACAGAGGTGTGGCAGTGATATGATGACATTGGCAGTACAGGGCTCATGCATCAGAACAATGAAATATTTCTTTCTAAATTGTATACCTATTGACAGAGGGTAGCTTTTTATCTCCAGCAAATCCGTAGCCTAGTTACCACCTTAAAGTGGAACTGTGTCAAACTTTGGGCTTTCTCCTATATAATGGACTTATTCCCCCACCACTTCATATTCTAGGCACAGAGTGAATCAGCGATGCTCATTAAAAACAGTGCAGCAATGTGTTCCAAGAGCAGCTTGGAAACAGCTTTGAAGAGCCTAGAGTTTTCCTGCTTCTAGGACATGTGAAAACATTTCAGGAGCTGCTCCTCACTTTGCCCTCCAGGCTCTCTCTGTCTCCATACTGTGTGCCATACCTTTTGCACTGGACTTCCTTGCTTTATGAATTTTTACTGCAGTGCAGTGCTCTATACCCAACTCTTCATAATTATCCTCATTATAGCATCTTTTTATCACAGGGAGATGTTCACAAAGGTGTCCTGCATAATGCATTTCCTCTAAAGAAATGAACCCCCTGGCCTGTGTTAAATAGCTGGTGAATTATAGAGCTGTCTCACCAAAAGTCCATTCATTGTCATGCTAATGGCCTCTGCCACTTACCACCATTGAACTAGATTATGAACTCCCCCTTTGTAATATGCAGTTTGCTAGATAATAGGATTTCCATTTTTAACCCCCCTTTTCAATGGCTGATTAAAAGTATCTAAGTGTCAGTGGAGTTCACCATACAAGACTATTTATCATCAGCATAAACATGGTTCTACTTCTCTCCAGGGCTGTGTGGTCTCTACTACCATTTTATCTTGGGATTCTGCTCCTGTAAGATACCTCTATTAATGGATGAAAACAGCTTTCTGCTACCAGCCAGAGGGCTAGGTCAGGGTTGGTTTACTTATGTTTAAGTACAAACACATTGGCTTTTGAGCTCTGCAAACCTCCCAGTACAGAATTCCAACCATATTTCCATTGTTCAATGTATGTATTTTGGGGCTCTATTCATGCACACCATTTAAATGTTGAATTTTTTAATTGATTTGAGTGGGATTCTAAATTTAATTTTAATGAGTGGTCCCCTGTGAGAGAATAGATATCATTGTAAACAATCTATGTACATATCTCTGTCCAAGCAACGTTTTGTTATTTGTTTGCAAGAAAACCACTATTGAGGTTCCATCATATCACAAAACAATTTAGAAGTCACCTCATTTTTCCTTTAAATACTGTTTGCTGCTTTAGAAAGACTACTATCTTTTGAGAAAGCCGTATTTAGGCCAGAGACCTATTATTAACATGCAGTTTGTAATACGCAGTTTTTACTATAATGTCAAAGTTACTTTCTTGGTCCTTGCCTTAAAGAAGCAGTGAGGAACCTATGACCCATGGACCAGATTTGGTCTGTAACTTATTTAATCAGATCTGCAGCAATATGCATTTTTTGGGCTGCTTAGTCACCCAGTTTTTGGTTGTATGCTACAGTTGCCTAGTCTTAAATGATAGGATGCATTGATGTCATTGTTATTTTAGTGACATTACAATGTGACTAATGAAAGTAAGCCTTTTTCTAGCAGGAACTGTGAGAAAGACACCCAAGTCCAGAAAGAGTGAGGCTATCCAAAAAAGAGTGGAATATAGATGAAAAGAGAAATGAGATTGTGCCCCTTTCTCATTCTGCATTAACTCGAAGTAATAGTTTATCACTTTCCTAGTTCTGAAGTCACAAATCATCAATGTGAATTAAGAATCGTAGATTTGCCTGTAACCTAGTATGAATCGTGGAGGGCAGATTTCCTGTTTGGGTTTGGAGTAAAAATAATGCAAGAACGAGTAATTGGCAAATATTACATGATCTGGAGAAGGCCCTGGACCAGTGTCTGGGTGTGTTGGTTGGCTAGATGAGGTGTAATAAACCATGTTTGCATCCTGGCAAGATGGAGGCTCTGTGAGTGAGAGGTTCCCAGGTCCAATAAATCAGTACAGTGGTGCCTCGCAAGACGAAATTAATCCGTTCCGTGAGTCTCTTCGTCTTGCGGTTTTTTCGTCTTGCGAAGCACGGCTATTAGCGGCTTAGCGGCTATTAGTGGCTTAGCGGCTATTAACGGCTTAGCGGCTATTAACGGCTTAGCGGCTTTAAGAAAAAGGAAACAAACTCGCAAGAACTCGCAAGACGTTTCGTCTTGCGAAGCAAGCCCATAGGGAAATTCGTCTTGCGGAACGACTCAAAAAACTGAAAACCCTTTCGTCTAGCGAGTTTTTCGTCTTGCGAGGCATTCGTCTTGCGGGGCACCACTGTACAGTGGTACCTCAGGTTACATACGCTTCAGGTTACAGACTCTGCTAACCCAGAAATAGTGCTTCAGGTTCAGAACTTTGCTTCAGGATGAGAACAGAAATTGTTATCCGGCGGCACAGCGGCAGCAGGAGGCCCCATTAGCTAAAGTGGTGCTTCAGGTTAAGAACAGTTTCAGGTTAAGAACGGACCTCCAGAACGAATTAAGTACTTAACCCGAGGTACCACTGTAACTTGTCTGTCCTTTATGGAGTTCCACTCCCTGAAAGATCAGGTACATTGTTTGGAGTTGGTCCTACATCCAGCTTTGCCGCTGAACGTACAGATGTCCTTAGTGGCTAGGAGTGCCTTTTATGGTTGCTCCTGGACTGGGATAGCTTCACTACAGCTGCCCATGCAACTGTTGAATTACTGTAATGTGTTTTATGTGGGGCTACCCTTGAGGTTGGTTCAGAGGCTGCAGCTAATGCAGAAGGTGGTGGCCCCACTGCCTGTGGGGGCAAACTACCACCAGCATATATCACCTTGTTTGCAGGATTTG